AACATATACTGAACAGAATAATTGCACTTTGTTAGTATGGCTTTCATTCTTGAATAGAATAGAGAATTAAGAAAGGCTGTATTCTGTTTCTATGCAAGACTGGCTGACTGTAGGGATTAAATTTTCAAATGCATATCAGATCAGCGCCAAAACTTACAGAACTTATTATCGAACACTTCAACCATTGTAATTTGTACAGCAATAACACCTAGCCAGATTGGTATATGGATAATAATAACCCGACCTAAGACGTCCAAAACAGACCGCTTTGAAATGTTAACTGATGAACAGCGCACAACTGTCACCACCTTATCCACTGATGGCAAGAAAGAGATCTGGAATATGAAATAAACTAGAACAATAAACCAAAAGTTACAGAATTTTTTCATCAAAATTTCACTCAGTAATATGTCTGATATTTCCTACAATAAACCTTGCTTATTTTTCTGTATATTTCAGATCGTTTATGTTCAACAGCTAGTTCATAATCCGTTACGGTAGAAGATTCCCTCCGCAAGGATCTTCTCCTGAAGGATGGACTTTTTTGATGAATTCCATCAGTAGAAGCTGCTTCGCCAACATTTTCGCTTACTTCCTCTCTTTCTGCAAAAAATACAACAACAAATAAAAATAAAAAACAAGAAACTCAACTGAGAAACCAAGAAAAAAGGATGCTTTTTTAAAATGCAACACCTAGATAAACTTGAAACTGCTAACCTTGAGCTAACTCTTCCCGAAAAGCCTTAACTGAAGGGTTTGGCAGATTTCCATCACTAACCAAACATTCTTCTGAACTTGGACCATTCGCATTTTCCATTCCTTCCGGCAAATCTTCGTTTAATGTTGTTTTCATCTCTTCACCGTTCCCAGAAATAAAAAGATCTGTATTATGTGTAATGAAAACAGTGTGACTGGTGGAACAAATTTTAGCAACCGCTGCACACTCGGTTCAGTAAACAGAACTTATCGTTTTGTCATTCTTCCTGCTGACCGTACAAAAATAAAATTTTGACAAATCTGTCAAATCCAAAGTTATCATCTTTCTAATCTCGACAATTCAAAAAATCGCAACTTCAAAGAGAGCAACTAATGCTTAATGTTTCATGAAGGTGGAAAAATTTACTATCTGCAAGAGATGCTTCTGAAATCCTATCCAATTTCACATGCATTTTTCCCGTTACTTGGTGTGATATATTTGATGTTCGTGACTGAAATCATTGCTGCTTATAATTAGTACCTAAGGAACAGTATAAATAAGAGGAAGGTCAAAAAACAAAAANAAAAAAGAAAAAAATCAGTGCATTCAAAAGAATCAACCAAAGATTTACTTGAGATAGTTGTCGTTG